AGATTGCAGCCAACTGTAAATCATGGTAGTTTCAGCGTGATGGTTTGGGTTGGTGGGTGTTTCTAGCACTGTGACACGGTGCTCCAACTTCCCGGAACAACATTGTGTTCTTGTCCACGAAACCCGAGGAATAAAGTGGCAAGAGTCCTTCCTCCAATATTTTGACGTATTTCACAAAATTTATGTTGCCAACGCACTCCACAAAGCTCGATCTCCCACCAACCCAAACCATCACGCTGAAACTACCATGCTTCACAGTTGGCTGCAATCTGTTGAGCCAAAACTCTTGGTGAAGCATTCTCCAGACCCATATCCTTCCACTGTCCGAAAATTGAGCGAATCTTCCAAATCTCCAGAGGCTTGGTCATCATATCACTTGCCCACTTCTTTCGTCTGACTATGTTGCCAGGTCTTAATAAGGGGTTCCGTCTAGCTGCTCTACAACGATAACCCAATCTGTGGAGAATCCGTTGACCAGATTTCGGGCTCATCCCACCAACTTTGGCCACTTCTGCAGTCGTTAATCTGGAATCCATTTCGATGCTCCTCTTGACAGCCTTTTTGTCCTCTCCGATGGACCAGGACGATCCAGACGGTGCTCAGTTGTTTCCTTGTGGAAGAGGCAGCCGTAGATCTGTATAATTTAGTACAATAGGAAGTTTCTATAGTGTCGTTAACTCTGTAGTTGGTTTAGTGACACCTGGAGACTCTGCATTATCTAATTTCATTTGTGGAATGAGACATGCACTCTGAGAGGGCTAGCGTTATTTTTCTGTATATATATATATTCATCATACTTTCTTAATCTTATTCAAAATTACTTCAGATTATAGGCAAATGAATTACTGGCACTGAAAACCATCAACAATTAGAAGTAGTGTTGCAAATAGTCAAGTACACCCTTTCATTTTGATTTGTGTCTGATATAAATATATTGCTTTCACTTTGTTTTTACACAGTGTTTGATCGCTTTCTTTAATTCAGTCAGAAATTCAGATTTGATTCGGAATCAGGTCCAAAAATGACCTGGTGATTAAGACGCTCGACTCGCAATCTGTGGGTTGCGAAATACAATCTCGTCTACGAATATGTTTGTTCTTTCAGCTTTGGGGCGTTAAAGTGTAATGGTTAATCCATTTATTCACTTATAAAAAGTAGCTCAATATTTGGCAGTGGGTGATGTTGACTAGCCTGTAGTCTATCACTTCAAAATTAGGGATGACTTTTTCAGATAGTTTTGTACGAAAGTCAAAATAATCAATTCAACATAACATTTTTTGCCATCCCTCCTTTTATAACATAATGTTTTAGGACAACGTGGGACCTATTGATCCATTTCGGCTGTTCCATCCTTTAAACTAATTTAGAATAATTTTAAAAAGTCTTAAAGCCAGTCCTTATAATTCATATATTTATCAAGCTTTTATTAAACTCAAATTCACTGCCTCTACAACATTCGAAGGTAACTCATTCCAAAGGCCAACCACCCTGTTAGAAAAATGAAACTGTCTTAGCTGAAGATGACTTATACCCTGCCAAAATTTATATTTGTGTCCCCTAGTTCTACTATTCTCACTGTTAAACATGGAAAAAGATGATGCATCAACACTATCAATTGCCTTTACAATCTTAAACAACTCAATCAGATCCCTCCTAACTGTTCTTTTTTCAAGAGAAAACAATTTGAGATATTTCAGGCTCTCCTCGTATGATAACCCCTCCATCCCAGGCACCATTCTAGTAACCCTTCTCTGAATCGTTTCCAACAATTCAATGTCTTTCCTAAGGTAAGGAGCCCAAAACTGAACACAATATTCCAAATGTGGCCTAACCAGTGACCTGTACGAAGAAATTATAACCTCTTTAGACTTGTATACCACATTTCTGTAGATACAACCTAAAATCATATTTGTCCTACCACTAGCAACAGCACACAGCTTGGATGGCTTTAGAGACTCATCGACTATTACACCAATATACCTTTCCTTCATAACACTGTTAAGGTTATACCCATCCAACTTATACTTATAATTCAAATTATGATAACCCACATGCTTTATCTTGTATTTATTATAATTAAACTCATCTGCCATTTATTTGCCCAACTCACTAAATGATCTAAATCCTTTTGTAAATCAGCAGCATCCTCTTCACAGCTGACAACACCCAAGACCTTCATATCATCTACAAATTTAAGTAATTTATTGACTATTCCGTCATCTGTGTAAAGAGCAAAGGTCCTAAGACTGAGCCCTGAGGTACCCCACTTGTAACATTAATCCAGTTTGATTGAACTCCATTTGTAATAACCCTATGCTTTCTTACATCCAGCCACTCTTCTATCTAATTTGCTAACTTATCCCCCACACCTATAGAGATAATTTTTTACAAGCCTTTTATGTGGCATCTTATCAAATGCCTCTCAAAATCCAGATAAACCAAATCTACACCCTTGCCCTTATCATAAGCAGCAACCTTTTCAAAGAATGCCAAAAGATTTGTAAGACAAGATTTTCCCTTAGTGAAATCATGTTGACTATCCAATAAAATTCTAAATTTTCTTAAATGACTTTGCAAAGCATCTTTTATCAGACTTTCCAAAACTTTTCCCACAACTGATGTAAAATTAATGAGTCTATAATTACTGGGACAATTTTTATCTCCTCCCTTGAAAAGAGGAGTTACATTGGCTAACTTCCAATCCTCTGGTACCTGCCCACTATTCAGGGACTGACAAAAAATAGTAGTAAGTGGTTCACATATCCAATCTTTAACCTCCTTCAAAACACTTCGGGAATTATTATCTGGCCCAGGAGCCTTGTCGTTTTTTAAACTTCCCAATTTTTTCTTAACCAACTCAGAATTAATGCAGTCATTTTGTTTGATCTCGTTTCCATTTATCAAATGTTCAAGATGTGGAATACTGCTTAAATCTTCGTTAGTAACAACCGAAGAAAAAAGCAAAATTTAATAACCCAGCCATCTCATAATCATCAAATACTAGCCTTCCTTTATTATCCCTCAAGGATCCTACCCCATCCTAGCATTTTGTTTACCCTTAATGTATTTAAAGAAATGCTTACTGTTAATTTTTACATTTTCAGCCAACCTTTTCTCATACATCCTTTATGATGTCCTAATTTTCTGTTTTACCAACTGTCTTGATCTTCTATAATTTTCTAAATCTCCTGTCATACCAGTCAATTTAAATTTCTTAATGTTATTATGTTTTTCTTTAATTTTATATCTTAAACTCTTTGTGAGCCAACCTGGTTTTTTACCTCAGCTACCCTTTTCTTTCTATGGTAGCTATTCTCACATATAATGTAATCAGTGATTCTGAGAATACCACAGCTTCTCTTTTTATGTTTTTCTTTATTGATCACTTCTATTGCAAGAACCAACTGGAGAGCAGAGTGGAATGGCATTTTTCCATAGTCACACTGTAGAAAATTATCGTTTTCTCAAGAAGCACATAGAACAAAATATCCCATATATATATAATTAGAATCTTCAACGCAATTCCGAAAATTAAGCACATTTAGTATATAAGGGAGGCATGAGCTCAACAGACTACAATTTGTTTATCAGGAGATGTGAAAAAACGTATTTACAAAATTTTTAAACTTGCCACACTAGCCAACCCAACATCTTTTTTACTACCGAGCCTAGGATGGTCAACAAGGAAGTCATTCCGGAAACTGGTGATTTAGGTTATTTCAGTAGATATTGATGTATGAAGCCAGGCACAACTGGTAAAAGAAAAAACAACAACAATTAAATATTAATGAAAATATGACATGATGAAATCTATATGGATTATATTATGGTGGAACTATACTTGGCATTATACCATCCTTCTTATATTTATTCTTCATTGCATAAATAACATTTTTAATTTGAGAATCGCTTGGGAAATCATATTGTAATGCATTGTGTATCTGCTTCAACTTCAACACTACATTTGTGGGCTATACGTTACCGTTAGTTTCATACAATATTGAAACTAATGATTTCTTATATATGATTCCAGTCCCCCCCCCCCTTTGAGGATAACGATACAGTTGTGCTAGTTGTTTCATGTTTCGCTGTCAATGCAGTGATTAATTGATGAATCAGCTGTTATGTGTACTCGATTGGGATATCTTCGAGTAAGTTCTTTCTTCATCTGACCAGGACCCATAATTTAGCTTAATTGCTGAACTTAAACCATCACATTCACAATAAATAGATTTCACATGACGTCATGAATTCTATAATTCATCTTGTGTGTTCCTGGCCCTAATTATACATCAATGGGTACAGGAAAATCATTTTGTTTACACCGTTAACATGTTTTATAAATGTATGTCATAATCGATCTGATGTGAAAAGGTCGTTTCGAGTGTAATTAAACATCAGGGAGATGTAACTTCCAAGTTATCAACAAACGTCGCGAGGCCTGTATAACTGCCATCAATCGAAAGGCTGTCGTGACCAACTATTCTAAAGTCTGTTCTGACCATTTTGTGACACGTAAATATTTGCTTCATTTCTGTGCAAATATAAATTTAAGATTTGTACAAGTCTGAAATTCGTACCAGCTGACTTAATCATATTGACCGAGATGCTTCAGGTTAAAAATAGATCGATGAGGCTATAGAAGGTCAAATAATATACATTGTAATGTTAAACATAGGCAAATCCAGGAATTTTGTTGAGGAAATAATATGTTGTTGTTGTTTTTTTCCGATTACCTAGCCCCTAAAATTAAGGTAGATGGGTAAGGAAATAATTGTTCACCTGTTTTTTCTATAACCATGTTAATTTTAAAAATTAAGCGTACTTCTTGTAGGTCAGTAATAATATGATTATATAGAAAGTGAATCATTTAGCAACTTTATATGTATTGTTACGACAGCAGGGGTCACGTGACGCTAGTAACACGTCATGAACTTTTAGAAGGATCCTGTCCCTTCCTGAAGTCTCGAGAGGCTACTAGATATGCGGTAGTCTTGTATATAAAAGCCGCCAAGAACTGCCGGCAACAATGTGAAATTGACAGTTGAGCCGAGCACGTGAGAAGTTCGTTGTGAATTATAGCGTTCGTTATAGCGCGACTGTGAAAATTAAGTGTATTGCAAAGTTGTATTCAGAAAGAATAAACCAGTTTTATCTGAGAAAGGAATTGTATCGCTAAAGTTTCTTCGGAAAGAATTTTTACAGAAAATTAACTAACGACCAGAGACGTAACAGTATCAAAGGTGCGAAACCAGGATCTTAGTACTTTCTGGTACTGTATATATATTAGTCCAATTCTGGAGCATCATCATACTTGTTTTTCTTTTTACAGCTAAAACAGAGCCAAGGATCGTCGTGAAAAAAAGAACAGCATACAACTGCAGATACCCTTCTTGAGTTAAGCCACCAGCCAGATACTGAGTTGAAAATTTACATGATGAAACAGCCAAACGTAAGTTTATTTTTTTGGACCCTCTATGATCTAATAAGCCCATGATTGAAGAGACTGTGACCAAATTGAAATCATAATATCAAAGAACAGTATATGAAAATCATAATTTGCGTCAAAAGTTATGTGATTGTGAATTAAGACCAGAGGCTTTTAAGGACAATGATAAGAAAGTTATATATATGATCGAACTAACTAGCTTTGCATGGTTGTTTTTACCTTGATTACGGACCATATTTCGGAAACTACAAATTAACATTGACAAAAATTTCAAAAGAATATCATTGTTGTCATGCGTCCAATATTAAATACACCTGTTCAAGATTTGGGTTATATGTCTATAGTTTCGTCGCCAACTATTTCCAATATTTTTCTCTCTGTTTTACATGTTATATTTTAATGAACAAGGTTTTTCATGATAAAGACTTCTAAATAGTATCTAGTTTGGGTAATCCGGATGAATGATCAAAAGTCGACCCAAAGATGTAATAGATGTTGGTCAAAACGGTTTCCTTTGTTTGTTTCAGATATTTGCGCAAAGTTACAAAAGGACTGTCTCTAAATTTAATGTTATAGACTAGAGTGAATGAAGCCAACTGCACCCTCCACCAACTCTTGGAATACTCTAATCAAAAGGCTGAAAATGTTTTGTCAGCACTTTTAAGTCGACACGAAAAGACAGCAGATCACATGGAGGCATTTAAAAAGAATTTTAAATTTTAGAATATCGCCTAAAAATGAACCAGACAATCAATATAGAAAATATATACCATATTGAACAAGAAATATAACATTGGGAAGCTTTATTTGAAATAGTTATTGTGGAAACATAATACTATTCTCGTGGGAGCCATAAGAAGCTCTTCCCACCCTGAGAAAGAAGTTTGTTGATTTTTTTGGTATCAGCTATGAAAGAAAGTTTTAGATCATGCAACAAATCCGTAATCGACATCTGTGAAAATATGTTCTGAATGAGCTGATTCAATAGCTGTCCAACAAGATCCAGACTCGTATGTGATGACTGCTTCTAGACATGTCAATTGTCACTCGACAAGGGTCGACTTCGCCTCAGTGAAAGTAAGTTCATATCCGTGATTGTAAACTTTTAAACTGGCATGTTAGTTGATGCCTAATTGTTACTATAATATTCCCTCGTGTTGTAATAAGTAAACTAATTAGACTTATTGTGTAGTCCTGTCGTTTTTTCAGGCAATCAAAAATAAAAATCGAAAGATAAGGGCGGCAGAATAAAATATTGAATAAGGCAGCAAAATATCTAACATAATGTCCGCTCCGGTCAACTTCATGCCGAATACACAATAGGCCTTGTGTCAGCGTTATGATATAGTTCCTGTAACTAGGATACCACAATAATTAAAATAGAAATCTAAACCTACGTAGGTCTATGTTTGTTTTTAATTAAGCACAAAGCTACACAATGGGCTATCTGTGCTCTGCCCACCACGGGTATTGAAACTCGGATTATAGCGATGTAAGTCCGCAGAAGTAGGTCTATGTAAAATCTTTGAAATGAAGTATTATATTTTAGATTTACAAACAAGACCACGGATTTTACAAATATCTCGATGTGAGTTTTTAATAATTCAGAATGTAGTTTAGACCTTTTCTCGATTTTCTACATAACTTTTAATCATGTAGTGGTAAATGACATCATGAAGTGTTTTTTTTTTACTTTTTTTTGGGGGGGAGGCAGAAAACACATATTTCAAACTTAACTATGTTTCACGAGATAGTAAGCTCGCCTTAAAAATAATTATTTTCACTTTTCTTTCTGTATATCATAAAGAAATATTTTAGATATTTTTATTGTATCAGGCATAGTACGAGGAATTTAGATGTGCATTTATATCTCATGTATTATATATTGTATATAAAGTAGACTTACTTAAGACTTTAGATCGTTGTTTTATTATACAAAATATAGAATAAAGAGCAAAGTTTTCCAACTCTTTTATTGTATATCGTTACTGGTGAAGTGCATCAATATTAGTGGATGAATACAATATTATAAATCATCATTGTTAATAACTGAAAAAAATGTGGATACTTATGAATAGCACAAAAGTTGGTAAAAATATTTTCTTAATAATTTCAGGTCAGCAAATAAATTTATAGAATACATTTAAGCAAATCAGCCCCAAACACTTATACATAAATAATGTATATTTACTGCAAGTTAATTAATCATATCTAATTTGTAGTACAAAATTAAAAGCGCCGTGTTTGACATTTAGTGCTTTGCCTACGTGAGTTTCTCGCCAATATCGGAACTAAGTTTTACTTCGATAACAATTGTCAGAAAAAGTGAGAACAAACTCATTTGCAGACAGCAGTTCCGGACAGCTCAATTCCATCAAGGAGTACAAAAGGAGTTTGAAGCCATTGGATAAGGTTTCCTTGGATTTCATCTTCTAAATAACAATATGGATTCTTGCAAGCTTGACTTAGGCAAGAACTGGCACGGCCCGTCTGTTCGTTGTTTAGATATTCATCCCAAAGTTTCACTTGAGTAATATCTCCAATCAGATTCTTGTTCAGCTGGAAAGCACCATCAGCGCCTCTTTCCTGTCCCAACACAATAATCCCTCCACTTTGGATTGTGTATCCCTTAGCTATATTCTCCACTTCATAATCACACAAATCTTGATCCACAGAAAACTTCAGCTTTCCATCTACACTTCTCCACGCAATACAAATTTTATGCCAGTTGCCAGCAGAGAAACTTGGACAACTGCTTGAAACTGGGTTCGAAGAACCAATTTTTGCTATAATACGTGGACTTGTATGACTATGATCAACCGATACCAATAGTTTGTTGCTATTTATTTCTGTGTTTAATGTATACGAGAAGATGGAATGTTCCCGATCAACTTGTCCTTTTATCTTCACCCAGAAGCACAATGTAAATTCATCAATCTTTGGCAGCGTTGAAATCATCATCATCCGAGGAAAATTCAAACTGTTGGATGACGCTGGAAAACTGGCTTTGACGGAATTATCTCCCATTCGAAGCCCACTGACCAACCCCGTCTCCCAAACGAATGGAAAGAGAAAGAGAGCTATGATCCTTTTTGCCATGGTTCTGGCAGTACGAATAGAATATGGCTTAGCTGTCTAACAAGAGGAAGTGGACTTCAACAGGCGATTTGTTTCTTGGTGTGCAGTGGGTTGAGAGCATCTTATATATATACATATACACCTCGCTGCTATAAGACAGCTGTATGAACTCACATGATTCGTAAATCAATGGGCAACTACGTCACAAAGCATGTGCTTGTTTTACGAGTTACTGAAGCAATCTATACATTTGCTAGACACCATCTGAAACTTGCCGTTTTATTGCTTTCACGTGGAATATAGGTAGTTGTGTCGAGATTTTAGTTGTAAGTCTGGGAATGTAAATTAATTAGTTGATAAACTAATGAAGGGTAGCTAAATCTGTTTCAAAATAAGAATCAACTATAATTAAAACGTGCACTTTTATCTACACAGTTTGTTTGTTTGTAATTTAGCACAAAGCTACACTATGGGCTATCTGTGCTCTGCCCACCACGGGTATCGAAACCCGGATTCTAGCGTTGTAAGTCCGCAGACATACCGCTGTGTTACTGGGGGGCTTTTACACAGTTTAATATATTGTTGTTATTATTTTGTTGCTAGTTTCAATGAAACACTTCATCTTATGCACAAAACTGACCGCATAAAACTGATGTTTATAGACAGAAGAGAAGGTTGCATTTTACCGTGCTCATTATATGTATATATATATTATTCATTGATCATACAAAATAGACGCTTATAGCATTATACTCCGACCATTATTAACGATTTTAATATAATTTAGATTAGAAATAACGGGGATAAAATGCGCATCTTTTATGCAAATTTAGGTAAAATTATAAATTAACAATATTTTAAAGTTAAGACCATCAAAAGGATATTGAGATCCTAGCCATTTAATATGTGGCACAGCGGTATGTCTGCGGACTTACAACGCTAGAAACCGGGTTTCGATACCCGTGGTGGGCAGAGCACAGATAGCCCATTCTGTAGCTTTGTGCTTAACTTCAAACAAACAAACAATCATATCCAAAAACCTATGGTGGTTAAATAAAACAAAGTCAAGTGTATTAATCGTTTTTCATTATTTGTTTATTATATTAAAATATTTTACACTTTCAGAATAAGGTGTAGTTACTTGCAATAAAGCAATAACAAACTGTGAGAAGACGTTTGGCAAAGTATACGTTCTCACGGTTTGTGGTTTATTTTGTTTTATGCAGATTCATATTTATGTTGTGTTTTAGCTTCTATTCAAGTTTGAAAATACCTACTAAGGTTCTTCATAGCTTCCGAAACAGCCAGCAAAAACTTAACATGGCCAATCAGTAGTAACACACGATTATTATTCAATATATCTGATTATATCTCGTATTACTAAGAAAGAAAACGATCAAAATTCATGTTCTGTTCTTTTCTTCTCATTTTCACAATTAAATATGTAGTGTAGTGTGCTCATCTTCTAGTTAAGAGCTGATTTTCTTAACTGATTCCAGCATTCTAAGTTGAAATTCTTCCCAGGAATGGAGGATCATGTGGAAGAAATTGGAGTTGGAACAACATCACACTCCTTTAGGCAGTGGTTGGTTACACTACTGATGTTGTAGATTTTAGCGTTACAGAGTCTTCTAGTGGTTGGTTATACTACTGATCCTGTAGGTTTTAGCGTTACAGAACCACTAGAAGACTCTGTAACGCTAAAACCTACAGGATCAGTAGTATAACCAACCACTAGAAGACTCCATCCAATATATCCTTGGTTGCACCTCAGGCAAATGAACTCATATATCACTAGCTAGGTATTCAATGGATATTGTTTGTTTTTAAAGTTGAAGAGCCCTTTTAACCTAGAGTCTGTTTGTTTGTTTTTAAACACATTTTAACTAAGCTTTCGGATATACTTCTTTGATAATTTTCTTCTCAATCAAATATAAAGTAGGGCCTAAGTTGGATATAGCTAAAATAACAGTTGAGAACCTTGAACAAATGCTTAGATAGTAGCACGGTACAATGGAGCTAAACTGAAGCCTAGTAATGAAAATGTGTATCTTGTAACTAATCTTCTTCTGTGCTAAAAAATATCCTACTAGCTAAAATCCGCGTCTGTATATTGTACACATGAGCTTACAAAATGACATATATATATATATAACATACAT